TGAAAGTGTCTCGTTTGAATAATTTGATTGACAATTCTTATGTGTGTGATAATAATGTTGAAAAACCACCAATTCCACAAACTTCTCCATCTAAAGTACCCTCGCTTGCCTCAGAACCTATTTCTTGTTCATGTTCTTGTGAGAGAAGCAAGGATGATAGTATGGAAAACAAACTTGATCAATGTAGCACAAGTTATAACAATAATAAATAGATTTGTTTCAATTGTGGTGTTAGTGGTCATATAGCTCAAAATTGTCAAAATCGTATGTTTATACATTTCGAATTTTCAAGATTAGAGAACGGATCCAGAGGAAGGTCTTTAACTAGAAATTCCTCTAGAAATCGTTCCCGGAATGATGATTGGGAAGATGATCGGAGTAGAAAACGAATCATTGTTCAAAAGCATAAAATGGTTTTTCATCACAAAGTCCCAAGCAGCTTGCCAAAACCGAGCATGGCCAAGCCAAGGTCGGTTTCGTCAAGAAGCAGTAGTGAGTCTTCAACCAAATCTGGTAGAAAAATCACATGCTTTAAGCAAAAGGATGACCAGTCACCCTCAAGAACACCCGGGACTTTTAGAAAACCTAATTATAAATGGATGCCAAAACTAACTTCCAACTCATCTTCCGTGTCCTCTAAAAATTCAGAAATTTATCAATCTAAAAAGGGATTGGGACCACCCAGGAAAATAATGACCTGGGTTCCCAAATCTAACTAAACCCGCACATTTTGCAGGGACAGTTGCGGGGAAATCTCGTCAGACACTGTTTCGTCGACAGCGGCTGTTCCCGGTATATGACAGGATATATCGCCCAACTGCACAACATTCAATCCTTTAATGGGGGATATATCTCCTTTGCGGGTGGAGATGGTTGCAAAATTACTCAAAGAGGAACTGTCTCAAATGGGGTTTTATGTTTCGAGAATGTTAATTTTGCTCCCGAGCTGAAGCATAGTTTGTTAAGTGTTTCTCAGATCTGTGACAAGGGCTATTCTACGCATTTCACTGATAAGGAATGCATGATTCTCAAGCCAGGCTTTGTCATCCCAGAAGAGTGGATTCTTGTAAAATCTAAAAAGGATGGAAATGCCTATATCATTGATATGAATAGCAATCTTCCTGAACAAATTATGTGCTTTTTCTCCAAGATCTCCGAACAAACTGCAATGCTGTGGCACAGAAGACTAGGTCATGCTAATGCCAAGAACCTGAATCGTCTTGCAAAGAATGAGATGGTTCGTGGATTTCCTGTCAAGGACTTCATTACGTTTGAAAAATATGTGTCATGTGCCCAAGGAAAGCATCATAGAAAACCACACCTACCAAAATAGGTTAACTCAATTAGCCAATTGCTTCAATTGCTTTTGCGCAAAACAGTTCAAGAATTATGTTCTCGACCACTTTTGCGCAAAAAAGGGCATCATGCGTCAATACAGTTCTGCTCACACACCTCAGCAAAATGGTGTTGCTGAAAGAAGAAATAGAACTTTAAAGGACGCTGCAAGGACGATGCTGTGTGATTCAAAACTACCAGTCTTCTTTTGGGCCGAGGCGATAAACACTGCTTGCTACGTTCAAAATCGCGTGTTGATCAACAAAGCTTAGATGAAGACCCCGTATGAAATTTCATATAATCACAAGCCATCAGTCATTCATTTCCGTGTGTTTGGCTGTCCTTGCACCCTTCTTCAATTAGATACCAACCCGAAGTTCAATGCCAAGACCGATGATTGTTACTTTGTAGGGTATGCCGCTTGCACTGCTTATAGAGTCTACAATAAAAAGACAAAATAGATTGTGGAATCCTATGACGTGCGTTGGTTCGAAGAAAATGAGATGGATGCTAGAGTAGGTCCGGATTGGCTGTTTGACTACACATCTTTGTTCAAATCAATAAGTGTGTCTACGAGTGGTTCATCTGGATCTGTTTCTGGTTGGAAGTAGATTTATGAAGACGAAGACGAAGACGAAGAAGTTATCTACAGAGCTCCATCTGCATCCTCTTCATCATTCAAAGGGAAGTCCCTGGTCCTGTCTAAGAAGTTATTTTCAGAGGGGGAGTCCTCCTCTACGCCTGAGGGGGAGTCTTCCGCTACACCGGAGGGGGAGTCTTCTGCCACACCAGAGAGGGAATCCTCTGCTACACTAGAGGGGGAGTCATCTGTGCAACATGATACTCCTAAGTCTTCTATCCAAAGTGATAGTCCTGATGCTGAAGCTACACCATCTACACCTATGGAGAGAGAGTTCATGCCGAATGATGCTTCCGCAACTACCTTAACCTTTATGGAACTACTCTTGCCTAAATCTATCTCAAATGAGTTTGTGGCAGAGCCTTTTGGAGCGGCTCAATCAGCAAATGAAGGAGGTATCAACATTCACACTCTTCCTGTCTCTCTCAATGATATCAGCCAAGAGATACCTTCAAGAATTCAACGCGATCATCCGATCGATAACATCATTAGTGAGCTGGGCGACGATGTTAAAACAAGAACTCAGAGTGGAGATGTTAATATCTATCTCTACTCTTGCTTTATCTCTCAAATAGAGCCTAAAAATGTTAAAATGGCTCTGAATGATCCCAGCTGGGTAGATGCAATGCATGAGGAACTGCATCAATTTGAAAAACTCGGTGTTTGGAAATTAGTTGAGTTACCTAAGGGCAAGAAGTCTCTTGACACAAGATGGGTTTATCGCAATAAGCAGGACGATTCAGGGGTTATTGTGCGAAATAAAGCTTGACTGGTGGTTCGCGGGTTTCGGCAAGTCGAGGGTCTTGATTACACTGAAGTTTATGCTCCAGTAGCTCGCCTGGAAGCTATTCGTATCTTTCTAGCATAAGCTTCTTACATGAACTTTACCGTATATCAAATGGACGTCAAGACCGCCTTCTTGTATGGCACGGTGAAGGAAGAAATATACGTTGATCAACCTCCTGGGTTCGTTAACTCAAAATTTCCTAATCATGTCTACTAGTTGGACAAGGCACTGTATGGGTTACATCAGGCTCCTCGAGCATGGTACACAACTCTAACAAAGCATTTGCTCGAGCATGGCTATTCTCGTGGCACCATCGATCAGACCCTGTTTATCAAGCTTGTCGGCAATGATCAAATTCTAGTGCAAATCTATGTTGACAACATTATCTTTTGGGTCGACCAGTCCGCAACTCTGCAAAGAATTCGAAGGTGTAATGAAGAAACGGTTCGAAATAAGTTCGTTAGGAGAAATGACCATGTTTTGGGGGCTTCAGGTTAAACAGAATTCGATCGGAATCCTACTACATCAAGCCAAGTATGGGGAGGATATTCTTCAGAAGTTCGGGTTTCACGATGCTAAACCTGCTTCAACACCAATGGCTGAACGACCTCTTCTGACTCCAGATCCTGCAGGCGAATCCGTAGATTAGACTCACTATCGATCAATGATCGGATCGTTGATGTATCTTACTGCAAGACGACCTGACATCATGTTTGCAGTTTGTCAATGCGCACGTTATTAGGCTAATCTTAAACTTTCACATCTTATTGCTGTCAAAAGAATCTTTCGGTATATCAAAGGGAGCCCAAAATTGGGTCTTTGGTATCCGAAGAATTCTGAATTTGATCTTTATGCTTTTACTGACAGTAATTATGGAGGCTGTGAGCTTGACAAGAAATCAACCTCTGGAGGATGTCAGTACCCAGGTGACAGACTCTTTTCGTGGCAATGCAAGAAGCAACACAATGTCTCAACTTCCACAGCGGAGGCGGAATACGTTGCTGCATCAGCCTGCTGCTCTCAAGTTATCTGGATCCAACATCAGCTGTTGGACTACGGTTTGAATTTTTTAGAAACCCCCATTTATTGTGATAATGAACCTGCTATTCAAATCACCAAAAACCCAGTCCAACATTCTAAAACCAAGCACATCGACGTTAACATTCATTTTATCAGAGACTGTTATGAATGTTCACTAATTTGGCTGGAACAGGTCCACACTAATAATAATGTGGCAGATTTGTTTACAAAGCCATTTAACAAAGCTCGCTTCGATGTGCTTGTGGGTTTTCTGAAAATGATTCGTTTTGTGGATTAAGTTTTTATTTATTTTTCTTCATTCTTCAATTTTATTTCTTTATTCCTATTTTATTTTTATTTTTAATTTTATCTATTTTTTTAGTTATATCTTTTTAATTTCTCAGGATAGATTAAATTTGCGCATTTTTTTTCTTCTATTCTCACCCATGCACAAATTTAGGGGGAGAAATAATCAAAAATCCAAAAACAATAAAAAAATTCCAAAAATCCAAAAACAATAAAAACTCAAAAAATCAAAAATATTGCTGATAGTTTTATTTTTAGGTGTTGTGACGGGAAATGAAATTAGCAGGTGATAACGGGCAATCTGAATCTGCGTAACATACCTAAGTTGAATCGTCTACGCTCTGTGCTCGATGCGCTGGTAGGCACGAAAGATTTTAAATGGACTTGACTAGGGAGAGTTAAACTTAATGAATTAAAGGACTTGACAAAGTTTAACCTAGTTAGATCCGTTTAGCCTAAAATCACAACGTTCGAATAGGTTGAGCAGGGAGATATACATGGGAATCTACCGGTCACATTAAATAACCCGTATCTAGAACTGCGGATTCACTTTTCCTCGATGTGCGGATTTTGTCCTTAATTCCAGTTGGATGGGGCCACTGGTAAATTCCGATGAATTAGGTCTGTAGAAAATTGTTTTCTTTCTCTCTGTCTGTTAGTCATATGTTGCCTCCTCTGCGTGATCGGGAGATCTGACCTGGACTGTAACACATGCAACTCTATTTCTCTGCAAATAATACCTATGAAATTCTTCTTATCTGTTAGCCATATGCTGTCTCCTTTGCGTGACTTACATCCGACCTGGTACACAGCATATGCAACCTTCTACTTCTCAATCCCTCTAAAACTATAAGTAATAACAATCTGAATCTATCCACTACTAGAAAACAGGCCTTTAATGACGCGCAAACAATGACACGCGCTGACAGGACGCGCATTGGTGCGTGCCCTAAAAAATAATGTCAATTTGCAAAATTTGAAGAATAGAGGATACGCATTTGTGCGTGCCCCAAAATTAATGTCTAACGAAAAAAATTAAAAACACGGAAGGCACATAAATTTAAGTGGGTGTCGTGTAGAGGTGTCGCTTTATAAAATTTTAATAAGCGCGTCCCTCTTTAATTCAACTAAGGGGGGAAACCAAATCCCAAAAAAAATCAAGTACCCGCCTTCCCCAAAAAATAGAACCTCACAATATCTTTCATGGAGTCGGCGATTGGGAGTCTACGAATCCTCAAACTCGAAATGCCGATGATTTTAAGGCTTTTCTTATTTCGATATCAAAGAAGAACTAGGGCTTTTACTTTTTATGATCTAGACCTAACAAGTTCGCACCCATGAACTAGGGCTTTTATTAGCCAATAGCATTCATTTTCACTGTTGTTGCTTCATTAGCCAATCGCCAACCACTGCTCGCAGCACTTGGCCGTCATCAGTTTTCTGATTCCGCCGACGATTTGGCCAAGAGAAACTACGCCAACAATGTTTCTGAATACAATACCGTCATTGGATCTCTCACTTCTCAAAGAAGGTATGTCTCTCGCCACTCTTTTTCCATTTCTTACTTAATCAACAACAACACACCCTTTTTCACTCCTCTTTTTCTCTCTCTACAAACAACCAAGAAGTAGCAGCAGCAGCACAAGAAATATGGGTGAAGGAAAATGCTAGGGTTTTCTGCTCGATTCCACTGTTCACATTGATTTTCTCATCTAAATTTGAACTGTTTATGTTGGTTTTATATGTTATCTAGGGTTTTCTACTCGATTCCTCTGTTCACATTGATTTTCTCATGTTCGGTACATGATGGAAGGTTGAAGGAGCCATGGAACACTCGCACATCTACTATTCTTGTTATAATGGCACATACTAGGTATATTCAATTTCTCAACTAGAATATGTGTGTTTGTGTGTGTGTGTATTGAAGTTAGTTACATGAATTTTGTTCATTTTCTGATGTTGTTCCTAATTTTTGAAGGCTTCTGGAGCTTATATTATCCGTCTTAATGCCACATTTCAAATAAAATCTCAAGGGTAGGTCAACCATACTCTTTTGGGGAAGTTATCCACTACAGTTGTCTGTTGCAAGTGACTAACACTTTCTTTTGTTACAAAAAGCTTTCACTATCGTAAGGGGCCCTCTAATGGATGAAGTGCACCAGCAGTTAATCTCCTGGATATATCAGGTCACCCGTGTATATAAGGAGAAGGAACATGCTAAAGTTAAGTTTATCGTAAGAATTTTGTTCCCTTTTGATTTAATGTAGTTGTAGTAGTTTCCTGTTGACACTTGACCAGAATATGCGTGTCTGTGTGTGTGTGTGTATTCTCTAATTACATATCTTATTTTTGGTACTATCAGATTGGACCTATCCCTATAGATGATGGTGTTGGGAAAAAAATAACAACTCAGATCACAAGTGCCTTGAAGACAAACAAAACATTCTATACGGATTCTAACAGGAAAGACTTCATTAAAACATTCTATACGGATTCAACTGATTATTATTGACCACACATTTTCATCATGTTGCATTAATACAATCTAAAAAGATTGCCCAGAGAATCTCCCTCTTTTTAAGCCGAAAGCTTAAGAGCCAATACAAAGTATTACACTATCAATTTTCTAGACATCCCTTACTGTGACATTTCTCTCTATTTGTTATAATCCTAGCCAATCCATGTGAATTTGCTGTTTTACCCTTTATTGGGCTTTCTACACAAACCTTATAAGACTTTTGCTTTAATAGTATTTGGGCCCAACAATACTCAATTTGTATCATTACTCCCGCCTTCCAAAAAGTTTTAATTTATCCTCAAGACTTGTTTCAAGAAATTGTATCTGAATTGCCCATGCTTTCTCCCCTGTAGCTTCTTCAGTCAGTCACCCTTTCCACCAAGTTAACCACCAATCAACTTGTTCCCAGAGCTCAATGATAGAACAGGAAACAAGAAAAAAGATGGTAATCCTCCAATCTGAAGCACCCTTAATTTCAGTGCTGATAGCAAAACTTGTTCAAAGAAAGATCTTATTTTCTTTTTAAGCAATTTATGCTTATCAGCTAAAAGATGTAGCAATTCCATTTCATGTGATGCATAAATATTATGCCAAAAATTGTGTGCCTTGTAATGGAGCCGTATGCTCCATGATTGTTGGAACTTGTTTAAGGATAGCCATAGATTTTGCTAGTTGGTTTGATGAGTAGATTTTAGCCGGAAGCCAAAATTCTCCTTAGTTGAGAGCAAAAGCTGCTAGAGTTAGCACCAGTTTTGCATCCCAATGGAAGTTTATGACAGTGTGTCAAGCTTGTCAAGCTTCGATCAAGGGTTCTAATTCCAATGTTAGCCATTGGAATCATCAAAAGAACCAGGAGTTTGTTGCTGCAAATAATAAATATTTCATTGTTGATAAGCATGGGCATAATGGGAAAGAAAGTGTGGATTCTGGGAAAAAAGAGGAAAAAGTGAAGAAGGGTAGCTAAAAGGAGAACAGTTTTGGTAATACAGTGAATCGGTTTGCTGAAAGATTCTACAGGTCCATGGTTTTGTGAGTTATGTGAAGATTCATCATCTTCTAGAAACAGGGGGTCCCATCTTTCAGTTACTCAGAGAAGGCGTCTTGTGTAGCGGAATGTTGCTTATGTGGTGGCAATACTGATGCTTTTAGGAAGTCAACTGATGGTCAATGGGTCCATGCCTTCTGTGCTGAGGTAATATTTTTTGATTGTGATTCTTACTTATGAGATGATATACTATTATTATTATTTACCATAACATTAATCACAGTCAACCTTCTTGTTTTTCAGTTTCTAGTTTTTATCAAATATGATACTAGTTTCTTACAATACTTTATTTATTGTTTATTCTAGGCCGAGACTCAAAAACATGGAGTTGAAGAATGGAATTCTCTGAAGAAAGTCAGGGTAAGTTATATTGTTGTTTATAAAAACAATTATTTGAATCCAAAATCTTAATTTTTTTTTCTTAAAATCGTCATGCAAGTTGAATTGGAGAGATTACTCCTCATCTGTGAAAGAATTATCAGACATGAGAAATTGAAGGTAAGCCACATATTTGTTTATAAAAACAAGGGTAAATTTGGTAAAATACAGAGTACATTGCTATTAATTTTATTCTTTTAATATACATTCAGGTTGTAGCCAAGATTTTGCAGGATGCAGTTCATGGAAAGAATTACAAATCAGATCAGGTTGAAAATTTACAACTTACTTCAAACCTAATGTTTGTCAATTCAAAGAAATTACTAAATCTTATTATTTTTTAAAATTTAAAATTTTATGTTTTAGGATAGTGGGGCAAGGAGATTGTGTGATGCCATAGTGCTTGGAGGTTTGTAGCCAATATCATTTAAAAAAAAATTCATTTTACATCAACACTACTTCCTATTTATTTCTTTTTTTATTTCTTTTTTGTGTTCTATTCTAACACAGGTAAGAGATGAATTAGGTATCAAAGACAATGAGAAGGCCATGGTACTCAACTTTGGTGGACAAGTAAGTTGAGGATCTTTTTATGTGATAGTTTAACGTTTCATAATTCACTAATTTCTTTCATTCATCATTAACAATATAATAATTTTGCTTTCTCTCTTAGAAGATACTCAGTAAACAGAAGTAATTAGTAAAATATAATTTGTGTATTATCAAAAATTGACCAAAATGGATGATTCCATTTAACAAATTGACCAATTTTCATAACCTTTTAACAACATAACCACCTTTTTCGTAGTGGGTCTGCTGCAGAATTTTAAAAAAATAAATATGAAATACTTTTAACTGACAAAATGCTATAAAATAACTTAAACTTTAACCTTCAATGCATGAAAATTTGAAGTCATTAGGTTGGAACTTAAAGGAGGAGCACTTGCCTCCTGGTTGGATTTGCCTGGTATTCTTTCTCTCTTTTTCCATATCTACCCTTTTGTATCCAATGTAAAAAAATATATTTGTGCAAAAAGTTCTATGGCTCAGGTTTGTGGAGCACATGACAATCAGCAGGAGCTTCCTCACAATTTTAAGAAGATGGCAAAATATGTGTATACCCCTGATGTCATGGAAGCATCTGACTGCATGCTTGGTTAGTGATATATATATATATATATATATATATATATATATATATATATATATATATATATATATATATATATATATATATATAAACTAAAAAAGAGCTTTCTTTCCTTTTGCATTCCAGACTCATTTGACATAAACTGTTTCAGGAAAAATTGCATATGAAACTGCTTTCTGGGGCTATTTTTGAAGCGGGCATTTATGTCTTTTACACATACGAAAGATCGAGAGCCGGTCTAGATTCTCATGTCACACTATGACTAGATTTCCTTAATGTTTTCTAATGCAAAATCAATCATGCAACTTATTTTAAATTTTATTTAGATCAGATGAAAGTTGTTCTTGTTTCCTTTTTTAAGAAAATTCCAATCTTCTTGTTGCATTGTTTACTTATACAGGAAGAGATATATGTGGCAAGGGCACCTGGAAGATTGGATGTGGTTGGAGGAATTGTAGACTACTCCGGAAGCCTTGTTTTGCAGGTAAATTTTTTTCTTTTTAAAAAAAAAATGAAACAGACTATATATATAGGCTCATATGCTTTACGTATCATTTCTTTGGAAAATCAATTGGCAAAGATATTGGGAGGCACAAAACACCCTAACAACAGACAAACAAGAGGAGCTTTGCTCCCTTGGAGCACGTAAGTCTTGACAACATGTTATTTCTTATTTCTTATTTCTTATTAATGCATTGGGTTTTTATAAAATTTTCATATTTGGACATTGTACTTTGAAAAGCTATTATATATAGTATTGAAAATGGTTTTGTATTTGGATGACACTACTATAAATATAATTTAATAGACATTTTAAAGTACAATGTTGTTATATAATTTTTGACCATGAAACAAAGTTTGTTAACCATTACAAACATTGTTTTTCTAAAAGGGAAAAAATATTAATTAACTTTTTCAGATAAATTAAATGGTTGAAAATGTATTGGTTTTCCTGAAAATTTTGCTAGTGATAATAGAGATAACTTACACTGAAAGGAATATAAGTATGTTGACCATGCACAAGCCCATTAAGGAACCCTGTAAACCCCAGAAATTGGAAGCTACTTGTTACTTGGTCTTTGTGAGTTTTCTTCCAACATAACACACATTCATTTTAGATGCATTTTTCTACCAAAAATGACCCTGTGATAATATATGCAGGGAACTAGGGAACCATAAACAAGCCTGGCATTAACCGAGCAATAAGGGCAGATCCGGAAGATGTGAGTCTTATACATCCCCGTGCCTCGATTTATGTTAAGCCTAGAAACTATCACAAGGCTGTTGAATCATATGAGCAAATCTGGCAACTTTGTCCTAAAAATCTTGAAGCATTGAGGACGGCAACAATGGTTTCGACTTTGTACATGTTTTGTGTTCTATAATAAATATTATCCAATATTAGCAATGTGTTACATTTACTTACTATTGGAATTAATGATTCTCTGTATTTGACATATTAATGCAATGAATTATCTTTATTGTTTATGTTATTTTATTTTGTATTATGAGACCTTTAATGTGTTATTTAATTTGAAAATTAGTAAATCTATAAAAAATATATAATTTTAAAAGCATTTAAAATTATGACATGCAAAAATGCGTGTCGTCTTCCTTTATGACAGGGGCTTCCTTGATACGCATTGTGTGTCATAAACACGCACGTTGTAAGGTTACGACACGCGAATGCGTGTCGTCTTCCTTTATGACAAGGCCTTCCTTGATACGCATTGCGTGTCGTAAACGCGCATCATAATTGCGTGTCGTAAATGAGCGTCGTAAATGCGCGTCGTCTATAGACGACACGCAAAAGCGCGTCGTCTCTCTTTATGATAGGGCCTTCCTTGACGCGCATTTGCGCGTCGTCTGAGCCATTTACGTCGCGCAATGAGCATCGTAAAAGGCTTTTTTTCTAGTAGTGATCCTCTCTCCTAATGATTGTCTGCTCACCCGATGTAAGGAGTACTCTGGAAGTCTTTGATGGCTGGGGCATATCAGGAAGCGGGAAACACGTTCTAGTACACTTTAAATTGAACACATACAGGTTGTCTGTAGATCTCGCTGCTCGATTTAGATGGACAACAATATCCCTGGTTGTAGTCAGTTAAATGGGCATAAGAAAAATCAATTTAAGAATTAGGGCCAATCATGATAATAAAGTTATAACAGATATATGCATGTATCATGTCATTTGTAAAGCGTCCAAATTTTGTTACAAATGTTTCGTGTTTAAGTGGACCACAATACTGGCGATCGATCAGACGAAGATGTGAAGATAAGGGTACCGACAAGTGGAATAAGGCTGTCCAACAATTTTGATCCCAGCGTCACAAATTCAATCACAGTGGTTAAATTCTTGAGATTATGTTTTTAGTTTATCTCGTTCTATTTTTATTTTTATTTTTATTTTTATTTTTATTTTATTTTCATTTTATTTTATTTCAATTTTTAGCTGTTAAAATTAATAAGTTTTATTTTAGTTATTTTTATTTCATTTTAACTTTATTTTTTATTTTTTATTTTTATTTTATTTTATCGAAAATAATTAATTTTTTATTTTTATTTTTATTACCTTAGTGAAAATCCTCAAAAAGAATTGGTTTTAAAGGTTTTGACTGTGTTGGACTTTGCTCAATACTGTGTAGTTATCAGGTAAATGGTAAAAAGGGGTATAAAAGGAGTTTACCGCCGGAATCTCCTTCATTCTCAAGATTTCGGCCGCAAACCTCTGATACACTTTCTCTCTCTCATCAAAAAAAATTCGTCAAATCTTGCAAATCCAATCCATTAGTCTCGAAGGTAATGAGTCCTAGATCAGAAATATGCAGTTTATTGTGTGATTCACCATGTCATTTGAGCAGAAATTGAGAAAAAGAAATGCGACGGAGTTTACGGCCGCAAGCTTGGGTCGTAAACGTTTGTATGACCGTGAATTGCTTGCGACCGCAAACTACGACTGATTATTGTGTTGTTTTGTGACCATAAACTCTTAATTAAATGCGTTTTTCTTGTCTTGATCGAAATTTGGGTTCATCGGCAGTAAACACAGTTCTACGGCCGCAAACCCTGTTCTTGGGCCATAAAGTCGTGTTTGCTGTTGGCCGAGAGCTTGCGTTTGCGGTTGACCGTGAACTTGTGTTTGCGGTTTACCGTGAACCTATATTAACTGCCAAATTTGGATTTAATTTAAATGAATATTTATTTTATTTTTGACCCAAGTTTTTTTTAAATAAAAATTAATATTATTTTTTGGATCAAAATTAAAATTAAATATTTTGGTTGCTCGTTTGGCATGTTTTCGTGTCTTACTTAGTATGGTTGAGTGCAGGAGAATGGCAAACCTGAAATTTGCGGATATGCACAATCTTGCTATTGTCCTTACGGATCCTCCAGATGTTCATTCCGATCTTCGATCAATGATTCATAGACTTCGGGAGTACTGTTTGACGTCTGCTATTACATCAAATCCTGTTGTCTATCAGAACTTAATTAGAGAATTCTGGGCGACTGCAAGCATGAATATGAGTGATGCCAGTCAATAAACTGTTAAAGCTATTGTTCAAGGTCGTGAAATTGTGGTTAATGAAAGCTTTATTAGAGAGATGTTGCTGATCGATGATCAACCTAATTACCTCATAGAGATTGGAATTGAAGACACTCAAAGAATTCTGAGGAGAATGAGTTATGAAGGCACTTCACCTCCAACGTTAAAGAAACTTTTGCATCCGTATTGGAGATTGTTAGCACACATATTCGCCAGTTGCATTTCAGGGAGGAGATCGGGAGCAGATGAGATTTCTCAAAGGAATACCGGTGCCATTGTTTCTCTCGCTGCAGGAATAAAGTTCAATTTTTCGAGATTCATTTTGGATGACTTTGTTGTCAACATCCGAGCTTCAACTCGGGATACTTTCTTGTTGTATCCTAGATTCATTCAACTGTTCATTGAGGCTCAATTTCCGGATGTGAGAAAGGAAGGTGATATTCTGGATATGACATCATTAGGTCCCGATACTGTAGGACTCATTAAACAGAATAGAAAAGGAAAGTTTATATTTCAAGGAAAATACCCGCTTGAAAAGTTTGGAGAGTTCACCGAACTAAATGAGCCTACAAAATCCTTTGGTTCATCTGACCAGGCCTCTTATGAGCCTGCATCTTCTGAGAAGTCATCTCCAAACAACATTGTTATCGATGTATCTAAGGATGAAAGTACTGAGAAGGAAGATACTCCTACCCCTGACGCTCATGTGACTGAGGAACATGGCGATATGTCTAATCTTGCTCAAGGCGATGATTCAGGAATGCACGTGGAGTTTGCAGAAAATGTTGAAGGTGACAACAATGATTCTTTTGATGATCTTGATCTCACTGGTTTTGATCATGATGATATTACAACTTCTCTAGCTAGCAGTGCTAACTTAGTGTCAAATGAGAATCTTGACACTATCTTTAACAATGTCGATGATGTTGTCCTTCCAACAACTAAGATGAGGAAGTCAAATGAAGTTTTTGAAACTGCAACCCCTACTTCAGATCAAATGGCAAGTGTTTCCATTCCAATGGAGACGGTAATGGGATGTTCCCCTCCTGTTTCTGTTCCTCTTACCTTAGAGCCATTTGTGAGTGATTTTACAACGACACAGTCTGGTCAACCCCCGTTGAAAAGACAAAGAAGGGATTAGAGGCAAAGTGATGTAATTGCAAGTCTCGTTAGCGGCCTCCCAGTACCACCTACTACTACTACTACTACTAGTCTCACCACAACCAAACTGTTTTCTCTGGGTCCAGACACTACCTTTGAGGTTGGTGGTTCCTCTATTCCACCAGGGTTTACCCCTCCTCGATCTGATCATGATGAAGCTTCAGTGAGATTGGCCATGCATTTGGATGAGGAGCAATTTTTGATGCCTTCTCCTTGCAGTAAAGGTGTTTCTATAGGAGATGGTGGTTATGGAGGAGACAACTTAACTATCTCAGGGCTACAGAAGGAGATATCGGTGCTGAACCAGAAAACCATTGAGCTTGATATTCAAGTGCCAGAACTTAGAGCTGAAAATTCAAAGCTTACTGTTCAAGTGTCTGAGCTTCAGTCTGATAATTCGAAGATTGGTGTGCAAGTTGCTGATATTGCTAAAGACAAAGATTTAAAGTCAAAACAGATCTCCAATCTTCAAGACCACTTCAATCTCTTGACTTTAAGCTATTTTAAGTTAAAGAAGAAGCTTGAGGAAGACTTTGGTGATAAATACCAGACATCTGCTGATGAATACAAGATCAATCTTCATGTTCAAGCCTTTCTAGTCACTCTGCCAACTGGTCAAACTTCAGGAGAGGTTAATCGTGTTGAAGATGAGCCTCCTCAAGCCCCCCATATTTCAGCATCAATTCGCGATGCCCAAGAGGAAGCAGCTAAGAAAGGGAAACTGTTGTTCAAAAGAAACCCTACTCAGAATATTTCTTGGGATGAACCTGCGATTACAGTGACTGATCATGAAGTCGTTCGTTTCAGAGATACTTTCGGTGATAGGCCAGAAATTTCTTCGTGGGGATTTCATGATCCTCTCAATATGTGGATAGTGTTAAGGAAAGTGGCAATTCTGAATTTTATAGAGATACTCATGACTTCAGTTCATGGACTAGAGTCGATTTGACTGAACTGTCTCGAGCTCATTTCTCCAATTTAACAAACAATCCTCAAGCGACTCAGTTTAAGCACTTCCTTGAAGATCAAGTCAAGAAAGGGTTTCCAACCATGAATACTACTGAATCTGTTATAGAAGAGCACTCTGATATCCTTGATCCTAAAACTGATAGGCCTTTGCAAGTCGTGATGTGGCCTGCAACCAAGCAGTTCAAACAATTCCCTGTACTTCAACATTATCAAGATGGATCTCTAAGTTCTATGGAGTGTTGGGTCTTTGATGAAGTTACTTCCGCTGCGGTCATCAAGCTCAAGAATGGGTGCATTCGACTCTACGATTGAAGAGATTTGTTACGGTTTCGAAAATAGGATATTCATCACCTAAGCAACTTTCAGATTTTGGTTGTAGAAGATACTTTTGAAGATGCTGCGAAGGTGTATACAACTATGGTTGCTGAGATTATCAACAAACGAATGTGGAATGGGGCAATGGGGCAAGCGGATGTCATGGTAGTTAATAAAGGTTAACCTCGAG